GTTTGCTTTTAATAATACCAAATACAATAATCTTTAATTCTTAAAAATTAATTATTATTAATCAAATAAAATGATTCTATATCTCAAATGATAAAATTATCATAGTAATAAGATCACTTCGATGATTAAATTAATATAATAATTTTAAAATATATCAAATATTATCTTACAATGTAAGAACACATACATTTTGAATGAATAAAAAATGAATTTAAATGCACGTGCATATTTGACTCCATAATGATATAAAAGTAGTTTTTTTTTATCCAAAAAGCATTTTTTTTCAAAGAAAAGAGAGAGCTATAAAATAATTTAAATTTATGTTTTCAACATAAAAAATGTATTAATGTCACAAACGATATATAAATTATAATGAAATATTTAACATAGTATTGAATTTTAAAAATCTCTAATATGATATTTGAATTATAAATATATTAGGTAATGTGGTACTTAAAAAATTCTTTGGTCACCATGTGCCATTATTTTAAGCTAACTACATTAGAAGTAAGTATTATATTAGTCAACAGATTTATAAATGAGTTACCACTTTAAAATTTTTTTAAAGTTTAGATATTACATTAAATATTTCACTATAGTTAAAAATTATTCTTTACATTAACTCAAAAAATTAATGTAAGTTTTTTCAAGTAATAAAATTGAACTTAAGTTGGTTAGATTGGAAAATCTATATAATAAATCTATTTAAAGTAAACCCCACATAAATTAATATAACACTCCTCTAATTACTTGATTAGAGGTTGACATGTGTCTAAAATTTTTTTAATTACCCTTATCTCATGAATAGTCAAAATTATTGTAATTAGTTTTTGACCCCTATGATACATATGATTTTTATTTTTTTTATAAAAATATTTTAATTAATTAAATTTAATATGATAATATTATATTTCTTTTAACTAAATTTATATGTTGTTATTGTATTTATTTCAATTTGAAATCAAAATATAAAAAATTCTCCCTACAAAATTTCATTTAAAATTGGAAAGCATATTTTGTTTTTATTTTTTTCAACAACTTATATATTAGGATTGGCAACTTAGAATTAAAAGAAGAGATTTGGATTTTAGTGTAAAATGTGTGATAAAGCACATAAAAATATAACATTAATACATGATTGGATAATTTCTCATTTTAAAATAAGTTATTTTATTTTTTATAAATTCACCAATCAAACAAAAATATTAAGAGAGTTTATAATCTAAAAATATATGTTAAAATGAATTTTAAAATTTTGTTTTTATATGTTAAAAAAATCTAATAATTTGATTGCAGTTAATCTGTTAATATTTATTTTTTTCAATTAACCATTAAATAATAAAATTAAAAAATTTCATTAGCAAGCACATTTATTTCATACTTGTACATATTACTTTTTCGTACTGATACATACATTTATTTTAACATATATTTCAAGATTATATTTTAGGCTAGATTATAAATATAAAATATTAAATAATATAAAAATCAAATCAAGAGTACGTAATAATAATTTAATATAGGATAAAAGTGATCTAAATAAGCTAAGGAAATTAATAAAATTGTTATAAAAAGTATATAGTTATTAACTTAATGACTATATAGTTTTCAAATTTTATAAGCTTTTTTTTTAATGTCAACTAGTTGATAGATAATAAATTTTTAAAATATGTTTTTTTATATGAATTCATTAATTGAAAGTAACACAAATTCTTTTCTCATGAGATAGAAAAAAAATCTTTCATTTAACGTAGTATTATAATATTAGAGAGACAATATATAAAATTGAAATTTGGTCTTGTGATAATAATTTAAATTTAAATTTTTTTCAATATTAGTTATTAAATGGTAATACATCAAAGCAAACTCCTATTCTTATATGGTGTCAATGTTGAATGTTAGAAGTTAATAATGAAATTTAATTTTGAGCAATTTAAGGTAAACAATAATGAAAAATTAAATTTTAATTACAACTTGAATTGTAACTTATTTATAAAAGGCAAAAATATTGGCTATTTATAAGGAAATGATTGTAATATTATATTTACTGCATAAATTATTCAAATAAATCAATTCTTAACTCTTAATTTCTTGAGAGGTTTAAACCCTTATTTAACTTTGCTTTGTCAATAACACTCAATTTGATTAATACTAACATTATTTGAAAACTTGATTTTTACTTTAACTTTTAAAAATTAAATTTATTCTTAAAAAGCTTTGTGCCTATTAAAACAATTTCTTATTATTGGATTTATTTTTCTAAACTGTCAAGACCTATTGATGGATAAATAACAAATTTTTAGTAATGTAATAATTTTTTATCTCTATTGTTCAATTTACTCCAATGAATGCCAACACATTTCTAACGCATTTTTCAAATTTAAAAGACACTAATTAATTTAGTTAAAGATAATTGATAGAGATTGTATGTTAAGTGATTAATGTGAACTTTTAATTTCATTTTGAATTTTCAAAAGAAATGACCAAGAAAAATCAATTACCATAATTCTCATTACATATAATAATATTTAAGAAATCAATACATTTATAATTTAAATAACAAATTAAAATTTTGTTTTTATTTATATGTATAAGATAATTGAATTTTATTTCGTATTGGAATAATTGAAATTTAGAAATTGTTAATCATATGCAAGACTAATTAGTGTAAGCCATCCATATTTGTTTGGATATTATCTTGCGTACCATATCCTATTTTTCTTTTGGTAGTAATCCTCCGTTATAGTATTTGAGATAAGATGTGTTCTTATTAACAATTTGTTTCCAATTAGAAAAGCCCGTAAAACTTTGTAACCAATATTAATCATATAACATATATATATATATATAATTGCACATGAATTAAAATTTTAAATTACTTCATTAAAAAATAAACTAAAAATTAAATATAAAGATAAAATAAAGTAAGCCATTTTATATTGTGTATGAAATGTTTAGATTAATTTCTAAGGCATATCAACTTATTTGTATATTATACTAATATTGTTTCAAAAACCAAAAGTAGATTAGTTTTTTTTGCTAAAAAATGAATTTTAATATTAAAAACAATAAAAGAAATCACACTTTGAAATAAAAAAGCATAAAACAAATGAAAGAAAAAGAAACATATCAATGGAACAAATATAAATAAAAAAAGAAAAAAGAGAAATGAAACATAATAAACTTATAAAACAAACGCCCAATACTATTATCTCAACGGACAAAAATATATTCCTATTCATAATGTTGAAGTTGATGTTAAAATTAAGAATAAAATTTATTTGAGAGTGATTTAATGTAAAAAATCAATTAACTTTGATTACAAATTGAATTGAAACTTATTTATATAAGGTAAGAGTAATGAATATTTAAAAGAGAATAAATGTGATAATCTAAATTAAATAAATTTACTTTTTTTACATTACAAATGAATCAGATCAAATTAAGTATATTGATTTTTTAAAATTAAAAATGCATAAAATAAAATAAAATATATTTATTAGATAACATGTCATTTATTCATAATTGCATATGTGTAAAAAATAAAACATCCATAGTAAATTTTTTTTTTTTTTGTCGAAGGCTTTGATTTTTATGTATTAATATAAGATAAGATATAAGATTAATAAGGTGTTCAAGGTATTTAATATTTATTATATTAAGTCGACTAAAAACTAAAAATGAAAGTAATGACAGTAATTTATAGAATGTATAAAAACTATTATTTAATAAAATTTTAATTTTATTATCATTATTACATTAATTTCAAAATCCATTTTTTCATCTCTTTTAAGCGTATTAAATACATATTATATTTTACTTTTTTAATTATTAGGCATAAATTACTCTCAATTTAAGATACTATTACTCTTGATTTAGTTTTTAATTTATTTTAGTTAATTAATCATTTAAAAATAAAATGTTAATAAAAATCATTGAATGTGTTTTATAATAATGAAAATAAGATATTTTAAATTAAATTTATTTTACCATTAAATTTGAAATGCATAAGTAATTTTAAACACATAAATTTTTTATGTTGTCCACATGTCAAAAATGTAAACTATCCAATTCAGATTATTTCCTTTTTTGTTAGAGGCTTTAACTTTTATATATTTATATAATATGCCTTTCCAATCATAATTAAGGAAATGTTTATAGTTCCATAATTAATCAAAATTATTATAATGTTATTTTTATTATAATTACGAAAATATCTCTCTTTTTATAATTGATTAAAATTATTATAATATTCATGCTATCATAATTATAAAAATATTCTTATGATTGATTTATAAGAAGCTTACGTGTAGTAATTTGTTTAAAAATTATTATGATATTCTTATTAAATTATGTATTAAAATTTAATATAATATAAAATTAATCGCATATTAAATTATTAAAATATCCTTACCATTGTTTTATGAAAATATGACATGTGACATTTTATGAAAATTACTAAATGCCTTTATTAAATTATATATTAAATTAATTACATAAAATTTAATTACATTTTAAATAACTATAACAAAAAATTAAAAATATAATATGATAAATATAAATAGAAAAAGACATAACAAAAAATTTAAATCATTTTTATTTTATTTTAAATACTTTTACAAAAAATTTAGAAACTACAATAAATTGAAAATCATACATTTGATCATATGATTACTAAAAAAATATAAATATAAATATATAATATAACAAATTAATAAAAAACTATAATCATAATATATGACATACTATATATTAATTTTAATACTTTTATAATATTTTTATTTTTATATTAAAATAATTATAAATATATTTAAAATAATAAAAAAATGATAGTTAATAATAAAAAAAATTTTTAAAAATAATTAACCTCAACATTAACCGTGGCTATTTCTAGTAATAAACTATTGTTTGATTCCCATCCCAACTCCAAGGTGAGTACAAAAAAAAAAAAAAAAACGTCCTTCAAAGAAAGGAAAAAAGGAAAGGGTACAAAAAAGGCAATAAAAGGCAAACAAAATCAATGTGTGTGGACGCAGTGCAGGAGATCAGTCCTCCTTTAATAGGCATCCCCTAGGGTGTTCTCCACTTGGATTCTTCAACCTTTTGCTGCCATTCGTCTCTCCCTAATTTTTCTGAATCGAAATTCTCAATCTTTTCTAAGCAACCAAAACCCGATTGCCCTGTGATTTCCCTTTCCTTTTGCTCGCCGTTTTTTTTTTTTTCTCTTTTAAATTCATAGAATCCCAAATTCTTTCCTTCAGCCTTCATATAAAGTCAAATAAAATTCCCAATCATTTTGTTTTGCCATTCAAAGTTAAAAGATTTTGAGTTTTGACCCCTTTTTTCATGGCTGAATTTGAAGATATTGGAGCTGATATTGGGTAAAGCTTCATTTTTTTTTACGCTTCTTTTTTAGTAAAAAATTAAACCCATGATTTTATTTTATTCCTTTTATCAATTCTTTATTTAATATTGAACGATTTAAGGAGCATTGGATTGGGACTTTGTTTGATCTTGTTATGCATGGAAAAATTAAGGAATTATTACGGGGTGCATTTGTTTGGAATGTATTTTTATTTGTTTAGCAACTTTTGTTCATTGTACCTTTGGAAGCAGGCTCTTTTGTGAATAAGAAATGGGATTTTGTCATTATTGTATTTGATTTGATATAACGCCTGCGAGCGGTTGGAATTAGTAAGTAAGAGATCAAGATGTATTTTGATTGAATATTGTAAAGGGATTTTTTGGTAGACTATATCAATCCTATAAATGAAAGTTAGATAAAAGATTTCTTCTATATTTGGGTTTATAAAAGCTTAAGTGAGTAATTTGGGTATTTTGGAAAGAGCTATATGTAGTTTAAGAATTTGTATTTTAATTATCCAAAAAATAAATAATTAGTATTTTTAATAAATAGTGTTATGGCTATAAATGAAAGTTAGATAAAATGTTTATTTCTTTGCAAGTGTCTTTGGTATATATTTGGGTTTGTGAAAATTTAAATGATCAATTTTTGCAAAAGCTATAGTTGTAGTTTAATAATTAGTATTTTTCTTTATAATAGTTTATTTACTTAAATATTGTACTAATTTGCTTACATAGTCACATATTGTGATGTTAAGTTGTGCTGGTATTTCTTTATGCCCTAACTTTTGGTATTGCATTATACTAACTTCTACCGATCTCTTTAATATTTCATGATTATATAAATATTGCATATCAACTTTTACTGATCTCATTCACATTTGATATTTACCTAATTGTATCAGATTATATAGGATTCAAAGCAAAGCACGAACATATGTTCTATTAATATATTACAATGTTCTCAAATTTTATTGTTTGTTTTATTAACTTTGGTAAGATCCAATTTTCATGCCAAACACAACTATTTGCACCACTTTAAGTGAGGGTTTTTGTTTATTGCAGAAAAAAAAAGCAAAAATTAAGGTTCAAAATTTGGTTTCATCTTCTATTTTTTGCTTTTCATCAAAGAAGAAGGATTTTATTGTTGTTTGAGATAATGGAGCATATTATGATGGTTGTTGATTTGTTTTTGACAGTTCCGATATTGAAATTGATATAGCAGAAAAAGATGTCAGTGACGAAGAGATTGATGCAGACAAATTGGAAAGACGAATGTGGAAAGATCGTGTCAAACTCAAAAGGATTAAGGAAAGACAGAAGATTGCAGCCCTACAGGCTGCAGAAAAGCAAAAGCCCAAGCAGACCTCAGACCAAGCTCAGAGGAAGAAAATGTCCAGAGCCCAAGATGGGATTCTTAAGTATATGTTGAAGCTAATGGAAGTTTGTAAAGCACGTGGATTTGTCTATGGCATCATTCCAGAAAAGGGTAAGCCTGTAAGTGGTGCATCAGATAATATAAGAGCTTGGTGGAAAGAAAAGGTGAAGTTTGATAAGAATGGGCCAGCAGCCATAGCCAAGTACGAGACAGAGTGTTTAGCTATGAGTGAGTCAGATAACAATAGAAGCAGAAACCCACAGAGTAGTCTCCAAGACCTGCAGGATGCTACTCTTGGATCCCTCTTGTCTTCTTTGATGCAGCATTGTGATCCCCCTCAGAGAAAGTATCCACTTGAAAAGAGAATTCCTCCACCTTGGTGGCCAACTGGGAATGAAGAGTGGTGGGTAAAACTAGGGCTACAACAGGGTCAAAGTCCTCCTTATAAGAAACCACATGATCTTAAGAAGATGTGGAAAGTTGGAGTGTTAACAGCTGTGATAAAGCACATGTCACCTAATATTGCAAAGATTCGGAGGCATGTACGCCGGTCAAAATGTCTACAAGATAAGATGACAGCCAAGGAGAGTGCAATTTGGTTGGGTGTTTTGGGCCGAGAGGAAGCTCTGATTTGGCAACCTAGCAGTGATAATGGAACATCCGGCATAACTGAAATGCCTCAAGGTAGGCGTGGTAATAAGAAGCAGCCTGCTATCAGTGGTGACAATGATTATGATGTTGATGGTTTTGACGACGGAGTAGGTTCAGTTTCTTCCAAAGATGACAGGAGAAATCAACAAACAAATGCGGAGCCTGTGGCTTATATCAGCAATGATGATTCCCACCCAGTCCAAGAGAATGAGCCAGCGGAAAAACAACCTAGGAGGAAGAAACCTCGTATAAGATCAAGCTATGGTGATCAACAACCTGTATTAAGCCATGGTGAACAACAACCTGTATCAAGCCATGGTGATCAGCATCCTGGACCATTGCCTGACGAACACATAAATGCCGAGTCAAGAAACACTTTGCCTGACATCAACCAAAGTGATATATCATTTCTGGAATGTCAGATGCCTGGCACTCAGCAGGAAACTGATGCAAGCACAGTGTTGAGGCATGTGGAGAAAGGTTTAGATGTTCAGTCATATCTACCTGCGACTGAGTACTGCCATTATCCTGCTATTCCTTGTGCTAATGAAATTTCCACTCAGAGCATGTATGTAGATGGAAGGCCCATGCTCTCTCCGTTACTGCAACATTCTGAGCTGCACCATGGTGCTGCATATGAATTTTATAATCCACCGGTTGATTTTAGGCCTGGTCATGATGGTCAGCAAACTCAGATGGAGATGAATGTAGCACAGATTAGGCCAGAAAATGGGGTTGATGTATCAGCACCAGGTAGAATTGAACATGAAATTACTGGGGGAGAATTGCATCATTATGTGAAAGACCTGTTTCATAGTGAGCAAGATAGAGCTGTTCATAATCCCTTTGGGTCACCGACAAGTGATCCATCATTTTATGGTGGATTTAATAGCCCCTTTGAACTTCCATTTGATGGTACAAGTTCACTAGAGGAACTACTTGATGATGACTTGATACAGTACTTTGGAGCTTAGGTTGGAAAACTTGAGATGTCAGAGAATAGATTGCAAGTAAACCTTTTCTCTTCGACCCCCTGTTTCATTTATGAATGGTACATAATATGGTCTCATGTTTTATTTTGATGTTAGTTTTGCAGGAACTGCGAAATTATGCATTCATTACTGACCTGGATGGAGGAATTTCTCTCATTCATTAGTCTTTCTAGTACAGGTATTATCATTTGAACATGCAAAGACTGTAAGTCAAGTCAAATTTTCTATTTTCTCATCATTCCCCTGTTTCATTTATGAATGATTCATAAATCAGTCTCATATGTTTTATTTGATGTTAGTTTTGCAGGAACTCGAAAACAATGCATTCATTGCTGATCTGGATGGAGGAATTTATCTTCTTCATTAGTCTTTCCGAATTGGTGTTATCATTTGTACATGCAAAAACTGTATGTGAAGTCAAATTTTCTAATTTAGTTTTGCTCATCTTTTCAAAGAAAAAAAAAGTGTCATCTTCCCCAGCTTCCCCTGAATGGTAATTGTTGGGCTTTCATGTAAATGTGTCAATTGTAGAAACAGTCCATATGTCAAACTTGTGACATTTTCCTTGTTTCCTTCGGACAAAATAGCTCATCAGTCGATCTATTTCTTTCCCTGTAAATGAGTTTACATCTGTATATGGTTATTATTTATACAACATATCATTTCCCAACCTCCCCTCCCCTCAACAATACTCCCCTTACGAATGACATAAGTTGGAGCTTTTGGTTATTTGTTATATCTTCAATGCTTTTGCATTTGTATGGGGTTAGTTTATTGCAAGATAGATGCTTTTTGAGCTTTGTATTATTGTGTAGTACATAGACATATTAGATTAGGGCCTTTTCTTAGGGGTAATTCTTAACGATTCCAATCCTCGCTTGTAAGTGTGGATAACTTTATTCAAGTTGTTTTACAGTTATACTACTATATTTTGCTTCCCTGGGTCGCTTAAGGCCTTGAAACCATAATTCCTTCCAAACTGCTTCCTGATCAGTTTCCTGAAAGCATACCACACCCAAGTTAAAAAAATATAGGAAAAAAAAAATGAAGCTAGGGTGGGGAAGGGAGGGAGGGAGGGAACAGAATAATTTTGGACCTCGATGATATTCTACAATTTTTGAATGAGGTTGAAAATTCGATTTTGTGAGCAAGGCTACATGGAGAGTGGGAGAGAAGAATTTGGGACCCTGGTGATATTCTACAATTTCTCATTGAGCTTCAAAAAGCAAGGCAATCTGAGCTCCAATGGAGATTTTAGTAAATCTCCAACTCCAAAGATTCGCCATTTGTTCCCCATTTATGAAATTTGGTTTCCTAGTTGGTCATTAAACTTTGTTGACCAATGTAATCTTAAATTAGGTTGGGATAAGGTTTGATTACATGTTCGTCCTTTCTTCATGTTTATCACAGTCAAAAGTTTTGAGATATTATTATTATTATTATTAGTAGATACATTTTAAAATAATGACATGATGTGAATTAATATAAAAAATAAAAAATGTAGATTAAAATTTTAATAAAATTATAAGAATTTAATAAAAATAAAAAATATATTTTATATTTAATATATAAATATAAATTGTGATATAATAATTTTTTGTATAAGATGTTGATAAACCTAAATATATTATAATAATTGCAGAAGAAAAAAATTAATGCGAGAAGTGGGATGATACATGACGGTGCTGATCGTTATGTGGAGTTAAAATTCTATTTGAAATGTCCAATTTACCTCGTTCAGAAGGCCGAAGTAACCCTCAATTGAAACGGGCATCAACGTAATTGCATGATACGGCAAGAAAGGACAGCTGATCATACCGATTGTTGAATGCAAGACAAATCAATCCTGGTACAAGGCCGCCAGCCAACAAACGAAGATGTCTGTGGAGACACGTACCAGCCGTCAGATGGCTTTCCTTAGACTCGGAACAAAAAACAGCCTCCCTTCATACATTTCTCCTATGGACATTCTTGCCCTTCCTCAGCGCTTGTTAAACTTACAAACATAATTATAAAATTGTCTTTTCCAACATGAGACATTTATACATGATCAGACAATAATGCCTCTAAAATATGAATCCAATCATAATTTCTTTTACAACTGCAAAAATTATTAATCAGAATTAATAAATAGTTAAAAAAAAATTTTTTTATAAAAGAGGTTATATAGGATAATAGAGAGATTTTAAATGTTAAGATTTGAATTATGAATAAATTAGATATTATTTTTAAAAAAAATTATATAATTCATTAAATTAAATTTTGGATATAGTTTATTGATTCTTAAATTAATTGACATCATATCAAAATCAACAAGTTATGAATTTAAAGAAACTTATTTATATGATAATTTTTAATCAAATAAATATAAAGATCGGAGATTTAATCATTTAAGGTAAATTATAGATTAAAAAAAGAACTTCCAATTCAAAATGGGAAGAGTTTTACAAAAGAAATGGTATAAATTTTTAATCAAAATGCCACGTTTTCAAAGAAAATGAATATTATCACCGTTGATTATCAGGCACTATAAAGAGCATTTTCGAAAAAGGTTATCATTTTGTAAATGTGATGCATAGTGTATCTCTCTCTGCTTTTGCAAACTAGAAGGTTTCTCATTTTTATGCCCGTTTCAAGAATGGCGTTCACCAGGGTTTTCCAAATGGTTCTGATCATCTAATTGGTGGCTTCAACGCCTTTTCTCCATTTCTCTTATCGCACTAGTAACAGTAAGCTTCTCCCTTTCTCTCTGCTGTTGTTTCAGGCCTTCTCCCTTTCTGTTTCTTCTTCTTTTGGTGAAAAAATGGTAACTTTATATGTAATAACAAACTTGGCATGCCCAGGACTGCTTTCACAAACAACAATGGCAGAAGAGACCTCCACAATCACAGAGGTAAAGAAAACCCATCTTCCAAAACCCCACAAAAAAAGTTGAAAAAATCCTTCTTTTTTCTACATTTCTCCTCACGTACAGTTTCTTAGTTACAACTAACTTTTTCGGCTTAAAAAGCTTAGCTTTCTTCTTTCCGTGAAATACTCCATGCTAAAGTTTACCCTTTTGTTTTTGAGAAATAGGAGCTTGAAAGCAACTACCAGTTCAATAGATTTAGGAGAGGAAGTTCAGTTCTCATTGTAGAGAAAAGGGAAGTTCCGACTGGACCAGACCCTCTTCACCATAACAGTAACCCTACAGGACCTTAATCAGCTTTCCTATTCATTGGTGGCATATGGGTTTCTAACCAGTTTTTTTTCTCTCTCTCTTTTCCTTTATTTAGCCATGGTTTTTATTGTTCACTGGTCTTTGTCTTTGTATAGAATTAGTTAAATTTGTATTTATTCTGATGATGAAATCTCTTTTTCCATTTTTAAAACAGGGTACTTACATAGCTGTATTTAGTTACTTGTTAGCTTTCTTTGGTCTGAAATATCCTGTTTTCCTCTCCATTCCTTCTTTGTTTGAATTAACTTGTGGAAATTGATGAATGTCAGAAATAAATTCTTGAAAATTTGAAGTAGGAATTAATATTAACTAATATATTCATACTTGTGATGTTTTACCGCTTGATATATTTCTCTACTAAAGAAATGCTATAGAAACACACTCCGTTGATGAGTTTCTTAACGCTTAAAGCTGCTTTTTTCACCTTTCTACCAAAATGGTGAAGACAGGAAGTCTGGAATAGATAATTTTTTGCTTAATTATTGTCATTATTGGCATTTTTTCACTTTGTCTTTCCTATGGCATATGGCTACGGTGACAGTTGGAAACAAGTGTAATTTTTTCTTTTTCGGTGAAAAAAAGGGCAGCCTGTGCTATTCTGTTTTTGTTTCGCCGGGTTTTGAGTAGTTTCCGGTTCGGACAAACCTCCGGTCCAAATTTTCTCGGCTTTAGAATTTTTAAAAAATTTTTGTAACTTCAACTTTTTGGTCAAATCAAAATTGACCGAATTTAAAAATGGATTTTTCAGTTCAGGTTGATTTTAAGCCATATATTTTGTTTTCATTCAAAGCTAAAAAAATTTCAAAATTATTGGTAGGATAAAATAAGAGAATATTTATGAAATTGAAGAAGGGTAGTAAGAATTATGGAAAAGAAAAGGAAAAGAATATACAGGAGTAGTAAGAATGTTTTCAGCTTTGCTGGAATTTTAGTGCCGGTACTATTGTACATTGTACAACCTGCCAATGCGACCGGTAATTATTTTTTGGGAGGGGGGGGGGGGTTTGGTATATGATTGTATGAATTCCACAATTTATGAGTGAGTCCTAGGTATATGATTATGGACAATGATGATAACTGTATCAAAAAAATAGTGGACAAAAACCTATCTTACTTTGAAAGTGCCATTTTTTTTTTTTTGAAAATTTAGATGCGCTTTATTATTATTATTTTTTAGAAAGATTAATGTATAAGTATTAAATTACACTAATTTTTGGCCATATACCAAAAAAAAAAAAAAGAATTAACAATGAAAGAAAAATTAGTTATCCACTTATTCATTTTAAAATTTCTTTACCCTAACTCTATCTTCTTATTGCAAACTTAATGATATTGTGGTCTAAAATAAATTATAATAATGTAGAGGTTTTAAAAAGGCTGAATTGGCCGGTCCAATCCATTTAAATATTAATTCATGTATTAATAGACTGTGTCGATTTAACAATGTGCAATGTTAGTACGGTCATGAAAGTTAAATGATATAATCTAGTACAACACATAATCTGTAATCTTTATGGACTGTCTTTTGTTCTGCGATAGACCAAGTATAACTTATTAATAGTTTTTTCAAAATTTTAATTATTTAAAATATTTATCCATTACTACTAGAACAACAAGTGGGAGAAAAAAAATAAAAGTAAAATGAAATAAAAAGACACATAATTTATGTGATTCGGCAAAATACTTATATCTATGGAGAGAGATAATAGAATCCATTAAATTAAAATATTGAATTACAATCTTAATATTAAAAAAAAATACACACACGTACATATAAAAAATATTATAAAAGATAATATTATTATTCTATTTTTTATTCTCATCATATAATAATTTACTTATATAATGTATTTTGTCTTATATAATGTGTTTTGTTTTGTACATTTATTTTATACCTTTCATCTTATAATAATTTATTCTATTAATTGGATTTATTTTAACTTGAAGTTTTAATTTATTTTTATCATTTTATTTTTACTAATCACTAGTTAAATATAATTTTTCTATCAATAATTTAAATATTTAATAACTTTATTTATTTAATATAATTTTATTTTATAAATTACCAACAAAATATTAAAGTAAGTATAATTTTATTATGATACAAAAAATAACATGAATATACTTAAAGGTTATAAACTCACTTATAACAATTATGGGTTAACGTGGCAAGACTAAGCTTGTATGTCGTGCCATGTTAGCCCATGCACCACGTGCTAACAATGACTCTTAATAAGTCGTGCCATGCTGATCCATGCACCTAAAATCTTCTAACCTAGTATGACACATATATATATATATGTATCGTACTTGGATCACATTGACTACTTAATAATAGATCGTGCTAAGCATGACTTATACCTTACCAAATAGTCTTATGTCATAAATTGTCCAATTCATTTAACATTTGTGTTTTGAGTTTTGAATTTGAATCCTCTCTACCACAAATAAGGAAGTATTTTTTTTTTATTATCAATTTCTTGATGTTTAATATAAACATTTTTTGTATATACAAATATATACAAAAGACACTTCTTTACTCTTAATGTCAATGTCATCATAAAAAAGATATATGGTACAAAACATGTTAAATAATAGGAAATTAATTAAGTTTTAGTTTAACATTACTATTGTGATTGCAAAAATGTGTTTGAAAATTGTTGTGAAATATTGTGATTTGAAATTTTTAAGTGCCTGGTATTATTATAAAAAATGTAGTAGAAAATTAAAGTGTCTAAAAAAATTACAATGCTTAGAAGTATAGAATAAGTCTTTTTAATATTATTAAGTATATTATATTAAGATGCATCAAAAAATGATTGTGAGACTTAATTTTAAAAAATTATAAAAAATAAAATTTTTAGATTTAAAAAAAAAACTATATTACTTCAAGCTAGAAAATAAATAGTTATATTTCCTCTATATTTTTATTTTAAGTTCAAAATACATCAATATATCTAAAGATGGTAATGCTATATCTATTAAAAAAAATAAAGAAAAAAAAGATAATTTTATTAAAAAATGAAAAAATTAGTTAACGTATGATTTTGTCATAATTTCAAAATAAAAAACAGTAAATGGTAAATTCAAAATAAAAACACTTCTCTTAAATGTTTTTTTTGTTTGGCTTAAAAATTACCGTTATAAACAAATTTTGGATCAAATCACAAATATATATAAATATAATATTTGATTATGATTGTTAATTTAAAAAAATATGTACACAATTGGATGCCTTTGTTCTAGCTAGATGTAGAAGGGAAGAGCGGCTCCTCTCAATTATGTTTCGAACACACATATCATAATCACCATTTGTATATGTGGAGATCGACAATCAAACAGGAGGATTGGGCCCCAAACTTATGTAAACGGTGCTAATTAATGAGAATTGAGCAGTACCAATAAAAAAAAAAGAATTATGAAGGGAATTTATTAGATTCGATTGGTAAAATGATTAGTAAATGACCATTTACCATTGATCCAATTTTTTTTATAAGTTTTGATGTCATGAATCCGGTTCTATTTGACGTGAATCTTTAACTCATAATAATTAATAGATAAGTTTTGTTTTAGATATTTTCATTAGATAATTATATTTTTTATTAATAAATATGATTCAGTCAAGATTGTATAATCGTGATTAAACCACACTAAGATTTTGTGATAAATCCAATGAAATTGAGTTTATGGGATCAAAATTTTTAATTATTTTTCTTAATTATTATAACTTAGATAATTATATTTTTTATTAATAAATATGATTCAGTCAAGATTGTATAATCGTGATTAAACCACACTAAGATTTTGTGATAAATCCAATGAAATTGAGTTTATGGGATCAAAATTTTTAATTATTTTTCTTAATTATTATAACTTATAAATGAACTCAAACAAACTGAAAAAAAAAAAAAAAAAAAAGGAAACAAGAGACAAAACACAAAATTATGATTGGTTCTCTAGGTATTCAAGAGGATAATTAAGGATAGAGAAAAGAACAAATAACCAGAGAAAGAAGTCCACAATTTATTGTAATATTGCAGGGATACATAAAACTTGGTGGATTGCCACCGCACCTTCATTTGAGTACCCTTGCATATACATAGCTATTACAATATTACTTGGGTGGTGGTGGGCTAGACCACTAGAGTTCTATTAAAGCTCATAAACTGAAGCTGGCAATCGAGGTTTGGGAATGCTAAGCAAGCTCTTATCTTTCTGAAGAGTAAGCCCGACCCTTTCATTCATATCATTTAGAATCTCAGGCGGAGAGTCCCATTCAAAAGCATGGAGGAATGCAGCCAAGTAATAATGCACCATCCGGTGAGCGAGAGGCCATCCAACACAAGACCTTCTCCCTGTCCCGAAAGGCAAGAGATTAAAGTCTTGACCCTTTACATCTACGCTTGACCCAATGAACCTCTCAGGCTTGAATTCTAAAGGATTTTCCCACTCTTTGGGATCCCTTGCCATTCCCCAAATATTCACATAAACAATGCAATGCTTCGGAATGTGATAGCCAGCTACTTCACATGCTTCGTTGGCCCGACGAGGGAGGATGAGCGGAACTCCAGGGTGCAGTCTAAAAACTTCTTTAACAGTTGCTTGAAGGTATGGCAGGTTTGGTAGATCACTCTCTACCACAAACCTGTTCTTCCCGACTACTTGGTCCAGTTCCAGTAGCAGTTTCTTGTGTATACGAGGTTTCCTTAGGATTTCTGTCATGCCCCATTCCACGGTGCTTGAGGTAGTCTCCGTTCCTGCTATAAACATTTCCTGCCAAAACAAGATTAGAAAAGATGCTCAAAGTAACATTGCTAATTAATTTGACTTTTTTTTAATTATGAGACTGTGAAAAGAGTGGTATAATTCCTTTTATTCTTTCTTTTCTATTCCCTACTTATCGAAATTTCTAACAATTTCAAATCAAAAGACATCTTACCAAATTTCTAACAATATCCAATCAAAAGATATTTTAAGACTATGAAGGGAGGTACAATTCATTTTATTCTTCTTCTATTCCCTTCTTAACAAATTGCATATATATTTTCCCTTCTGTCCCAACCAAACTCAACAATTTGGAGTTAACTATCTTGCAAATAAATCAAATGCATCAATAAAAACAAGTAAATTTCATCTAGCTAGATACATATAATACAAAAATATAGAACTTGAAATCTTTTAGTTTGTTCAAAATATATAATGGTGAATGTTTCAATAATGATCTATCTAGATTTTTAATTTATTCTTTGAATTTAATTACCTAAATTCATGTA